ATTTGCTCTGTTTTGCCAGTGAGCTACATGTTGTTTGTGAATTAAGAGTCCAAGGACAGGAAAACTACTAGAAATACGGCAACCAGATGGACTGCTGTTTGGGAGTTTGAAAGAAGGAGATGTGAGGAATTAATTTCACACCTGGTGTAAATGATCCCGCTTAAGAAGTAGTTTTGCATTTTGCTGTAACTTTAATACTGGCACACTGCTTGCGGTTTACTTTATTTGGAGTTTGATTTGTCCATTTACCTCCCACTGTAGTCATCTGTGTCCAAAGGCTTCATTGTGTGCATCCAGGCTTCAAGAGTATTATCAAACCATGGTTTTAAGGATGCTGACTGTGATGGGAATCTGAAATGCAGAATTTGCAGTGTCGTTGAACCCACCTCTTTCTCACCTGACCTCCAGGACTGATTTGGAAATGAGACAATAATTTGAAAATTAGATTCATGAAATGTACCCACGCAACTTCCCGATTTCTGCTCATGTGATTGAAATGTGGTGGTTATTAGAAAAGGGATGTTTTCATCACACACAGTCTGTTACCAGCTCTGTATGCTCTACATGGGATTTGGAGGTTGAGTCAGGGTCTTTTTGCCTTGACCTTGTCACAGGCAAGAGAAATTCTGCAATATGAGCATAAAAGATGGGTGAAGAGTCATTGAATCAGTGATTTAAACTAAAAAGTTCTGGCTTTTCCAGGCTTCATCCCAGGAGCCAGTGCAGAAGTGACACATCAGGACATGGTAGATTGATGTATGAGAAAAGCAGAATTAATCTTGTTCCCTCTTCTTCTTCCCCTCTATCCCATGGCTGTGCTGGGTTTGCAAGGTTAGCAAACTAGCATATGTTTGTGTCAAGAAGAGGAGCAGACATGACTAAGGGACACATGGGAGCAAATACGGGGAGGAAGAAGTTGCTGTTTTTAGACAGCCACTTTTCTGACTGAGTGCACTTTAAGCACAGATCAAGTCAGCTGTCTTGCAAGAGGTTCAGAGGAGGTTAGGTAGGATCCCATCGCAGATCCAAAGCTGCAACCCTTCTGCCTTGACTCTTCCAGAGAAAAGGAAGGCTTTCTGCTCTGAAGGCAATTTGTAGAGGTGAGTGCAGCGTCCCAGTCTTACCCTCTTGCTAATGCTCTTGCTTACCCACATGGCACCATCATTAAACTGAAGTCGTGGGGCATTTCCAACCAGCTGCAGGTCAAGTGTTTTCTGATGTGGCTCATGTGTTATTCAGAACAACAGTGAAGGCAAGAGCTTGAAACACACTCTCCATGTGTTAAATCTTGATGGACAAGAAGGAAGATGGGGAATCTGCCCAACGCTCCTTCTGTGTCGTACGGCAACCTAGTAATCCCAAAACAAGGACTGCAAGATGTTTCATTTAAAACTGGAATTACTTCAGTGTTGTGTGCTCACATCTTTCCTGTAGGTACAGCTGTCAAGTCTGGTTATTTTCCTGTCAGGTCTTACTGTGGCTCCTGCATAGATTCTTCTTTTGAATTGTCTTGTTGGCTTGTTTTTATAAGTTAATGGTACAGGGGGTAGAAAAAAAAGAAGAGTGGTACTTAGGGGAAGACAGTTTGCATACACTTTGTTGGCAGGGCTGACTTCAACACAGCCGAGACAGATCAGTACACCAATGCCTGCCTAAAACAAATAAACACCAGCTGTTTATCAGACAGGGCTCAGCTTTCTCCAGGAGGAGGTAAACAGATTTATGCAGATGAACCTCCCGGGTGCCCTTGCAGCACAGCATCTTTCATGGCTACTCGGCCTTCCTTATGAGTTACAGCCAGGACAGACGAGCAAAGAGATGCAAGGTTAGCACAATAACACAGCCATTCGCACAGTGCCAGGGCGGTTTGTCATTGCTTTCTGTTTAAAGCCTATATTTAATAGTAATGTAGAATTAAACATAGTGCTGATCTCACTGTGAAGAATTTGATGTAAACTTCAGTATTTGAAGCCTACAGCATGTGAAAAAGCAATTTATTATAACTCACTTATTATTCCATTTGTGCCTAAAATACTATAAAGCAAAATTTATGGCCATTTGACGTTGAGAGAAATTGTGATCAGCAAAAGTACTTTTCTGACTCTACATTAAGATTGTCCAGGTGTTGTCAAACTGCTTAACTTCATGAACCCTTTTTTTTTTTATAGCCACACAAGTTTACTTTAAATCCAGCAGTGCTATGTGAGTCCACTACTTCAAAAGGATTGCTCCTCCCTCAGTTCAACTCTGTTTGCCACAATATCTCCTTAAATTCTTCATATAAATTTTTCCTGAAGCTACTCATTGACCCTAACAACTTGATGCGAAATCTGGTCTTGAAGACAGATGGGATATTATTTTAATAATGTAGACATGATTACACAGTCTGGATGTCAGCTCTCAGAACTGTCTGATCATTTATTAAAATGTTGTTGGGAGGAAAAATTGGGAGCTCAAAATTTTGGGCAAGACTCTGGGGAGTTCAGAAAGAGAGGTTTGCTTCAGTTCTCGTGATGTTACCACTTACTCATCAGAAGTGTAAATAATCTCAAATAGTATTGCTGGTTATTCTGAGACAGTTTCCTTTTTAACTTTATCTCACATCAAACGGGGCAATTGGATTGCAATTGCTATGTTTCTGTTGGGATTCTGAGTTTTTTAAAGTGTCCTTGGGCTCCTCTTAATACAAGATCATTTCCCTGCAGCTTTCTTGACTGCCGCTATTCAGGAGACCAAGAATGCAAATACATGGTTTGTCAATACCGCAAATCCTAGGTACCGTAGTGATGAGTGCTATAGAAATGCTTGCCAAGAGAAAGAGAAGAAAAAAAAAAAAACAAAACGTTTTCCTCTATTAAGTAAATTGGTGCCTTTTGAGCTTTTCTTAGATTAGGACTTTCCTCACCCAAGTGCATCACTTAACATTTCAACACATAATATTTCAGATTTCTCAAGGTACTCCTTAAACACTCAGCTAAACCAGGTGGAGAAGGCAAAGTCCACATGTGATTTGTTCTCCCTGGCTGTCACTGCAGATTTAAACCCCAAGTCATTCTGGATGTGCCTACCATCCTGTGCCTTAATGTTACTAATATTATTAATATTGGTAACTAACAGTTTTCAGTTTATTGAACAATTAATGAAAAGGTCAATGGGAATTCTCTATAGAGGCATTGTTCATTACAAGGCCCATTGCTTATGCAATCTTGCAGAATCCGTCTTCCCAAACAAGCAAAAGGGCCAGAGATGGCAGCTCCTTAAACCTGCCAGTAAGCTCCTAGTTAAAGAGCTTAATTGTATGAAAGCCATTAGGATGTTAGTCTTCCAATCCATTGGCTTTTTGATGCATTAAGTGGTACCTATGTTGTTGTGGGGCATATAATCCCTCAGGTCAAGGCGGGTGCCTACTCGGGCACCTGGGTGCTGGGAGCTGGTGGCGGACTGTGATCACTGCTAATGATACTTCCCTGCAGCCAGTTTGGAATCTGGTGTTAGTCACCTCCTGCACTGGCAGTGCCCCAAGGGAAATGCATCTGAGCTAAGGGGTGCACACCTGTACAGCTCCTGCGGCACACGGAAGAATGGAAAAGACTCAAAAGCAGTCCAGTTTGTGAGCAACCAGATGCAAGGAGAAGTTATGAATGCCCCAGGATAGGAGTGGAAAGAGGGCACTGTCCCATCTAATGCCTCTGCTTGAGGAGACATCTAATGCATCAGCTTTTCCTCACCAAGCACTGGAGAACAGTGTGTAGCTCTCACTGCCCTGCCATGACCATCAGGCTGAAACTGGGAGTGGTCTGTGCTACCACAGTTCTCAAGGGAGGCAGTAAGCTCCAGTGAAGCGCAGTTTAGAGAGATGAAGTTTTGGGTACTGTGCCTCCAGAAAATGGTGTGCTTCTCTAGCTGCTTCCACAGTTCATTCCAGGCATTAAAAAAAGCTTCTTTGCATTGCCAGAGGAGCTGTATGGGTGCTGTGATGCCAGAAAGGTGCTTAGAGGTTTGGCAGCAAATAGTTGTGCCTTAGTGTCATCCCCAAAAGAGAGTATGGAGATCCCCAAGCTTTCCCAGCAACCAGTGGCATTTAATCATGACCCATCATTTGTGGAGGTCCTGCTAGTCACTTTTCTACCCTTGTGGATGTCTCATACATGGGTAGATCTAGCCTTTATGAATGACCTGTTAGCTGAGCAGACCAATCTTCATAGGCCTCTGTACCTTTGTTAAATTAATAGCTATTGGTCTCTTGATTCTTCCTGAAACCTCAGTTGCTATTCTCTGTCAGTACTCACTGTCCTAAATGTCAGTGGAAAGGATCATTGAAACTAATGGGTTGAGTTTGTCTGTTGTGCCAGTGACTTTATCCTGGGATGACCTTGTTTCTGAGGAAATAGTTGCGTAGGAGATGGCTGCAGGGTCAGGGTCTTGCTGCGGGGCGGTGCTTGGCATGTCCAGCCAGCTCCTGCTCTTGCCCTAAGGTGCATGGGGGTCAGTGGTCCTCCTCCCCTTGGGAACTCTTTGACTTGCCAAGGTTCAGCCTCAAAAATCTGCCTGAGTTTGGGTTTAAACTGATCCCGATTGAAATGCAAAACTCAACAGGACCTTCTAATCTCACCTGGCCTGGCGCTGGAAGTATTGACCTTTGCTACGCCTTGCAGGAGATGAATTACTTCCAGGAACATTCCAAAGAGATTCAGGTCTTTGTAGCAGATTTTGCCCCAAAGGTTCCTCTCCCTGAGGACAAGCTTGCCGCGAGCTTATAGTGAAAAACGTGATAAACCTCAAGTACTTTCCTCGCAGATGTTTTGCATGAGACTAGCTCCATGCCAGAGATGGCTGTGTTCCGTGGGTGGGTAAAAAGATCCCTGTAGATATTTTTGCAAAGCAATTTCAGATCCTTTGCAGCTTGCTAGAAAATTGAATTAGTTGTTTTCCATTCCCTGAATTAACCCTGATTCATTCTTCCCTCAACCCTCTCCCTCTTCCTCCCCTCCCTCCAACAGATGTCCAGCATATTAAGAGGAGAGACATCGTTTTGAAGAGGGAGCTGGGAGAAGGTGCCTTTGGGAAGGTGTTCTTGGCCGAGTGTTACAACCTCAGCCCCACCAACGACAAAATGCTGGTGGCAGTGAAGGTAAATCCCAAGGGCAAATGGCAGAGAGTAGGGCAGGGGCTGGCCGGTGAAGCAAGACTGGATGAGCCTGCGTGGGAAAGGGAAGCAGGGGAGGGCTGGGGGCCAGGGGCGGAGATTTATCTGATGCTGGAGATTGTGGTAAATCCACTTAGTCACACAAAGTTTCAGTGTTTTGCTTCAAGGTCATCTATTCTCTCCAATGCCAAAGCCTCTCTTCCTGCCGACATGGCCAGGAGACAGACAGGGAGGAGAAGCGGGTCTGGAAGCTGTAAGCTCCCATGCAGCTGCAGCAGCGCAGTGTGGAGTCCACCTTCCCTCCGTGAGGGAGTGGGGCTCTTCTCTTTCTGGATTTTATCTCTTTGTGGAACATGCAGAAGCTGAAACAAAAAAAAGCCTCGGCAGAAATGAGCACTTAAAAGCTAAGCTTGACAAACCAATTTGCTGGGATCAATTTGCTGCAAGATGAGCAAAGCAACCCAGCTTAGCTCTGCTCAGCTCCTGCTTGCCTAGCCACAGATCGCTCCTGTTTTGGTGATTTTGAGACAACACAAGTTCAGCTTGGCTTGTGCTGTGCTGTTTGTGTCCTTGTGAGGGTCCTCAGGTGAGCTGTGCCCCATCAGCGTGGCTCTGGGCAGAGGAGACCACTCAGTGCAGAAATGTGCTCTCCTCTCAAGTGGCACCAGTTGGCAGACACACATAGTCTAATCCCCAGAAATTAATTGATGCCTCCTAACTCCTTGGAAGAAGATCTGCATTTGAACTGATGCTCTATGGGGAGAAAGGTTCCAGCACTGTCTCCAGGATGCTGGAGGCATCCAGTTGCTTGAGAATTGTTTTAATCATTGGCACTTCAAGCCTTTTTTTGTCCCCTTATGCTCCGACTGTGAACTGCAAGATTGCACCTTCCACCTCTGAGACTGGTTAAAGCCAAGGTAGCACAGCTACTCATATGATTAATTGCCTGATTATATGGCTGGTACCTGCCTATCAGTGTCAGCCATCCCTTATGCGATCCTGCCTCTCAAGTCTCTACTGAGTATCATTTGCATGTAGGCAGAAACAGCATCTGAACTTGTTTCTGTTAATTGCTACTATAAGCTTACATCTCCAGAGTGCCTTTCATCCTGCAAGATCATACAGATTCAGCTTTAGAGCAGGGCCTTGAAATCTGGCTTTTTGCCAGCTGGGGGGGGGGGGGCAGGGAAAAAATCCCTCTAATTCGGGCCACATTATAAGTCTTAGGGGAAGAAAGAAAAAGGAAAAAAAAGACTTTACATATTAAGTTGAGATTTGGCTGCATTTCCTGAAGATCTCATGCTCCTGACAGAGGCTGAGAACTGCCTCCCCAGTCACTGCAGCTCAGGGCAGCAGCAGGACATGCTGGTTAGGGCAGCTCAGTCCACAGCCCAGAGTCTGCCGCTGCTGTGCTCTCAGGGGCTCCCTCCCAGGGCCAAAAAAGTGGCTGTGTTACTCACTTGGTTAAATGGACTCAGATTTTCAGTGGATCTAAAGGTTGCAGCCCTGCAGATAAGCTGAGTTTTGATGTGATGGCATGGACAAGCTTCCTGTTTTATTCAGCTCGCTTCTAAAAACATCCTAGGAAACGCACAAAAAGTATATTGAGTGAAGAGTGTTGAGGTTACGAAGTCAAGCACTAGAAATGCTGGAGGGGCTGGTATTCAGGGCATGTCCTCTGAACACGTATTTTTCATTTCTGTATGGACTGCTTCATTGTAGTGATCACACCTGTGTCTGAGAGCTCCCTAGATGTGAGTGCACTCATTTTCACAGCCTCCCAGCAAGGTGCTGGCGTTGTGTCATCCCCATTTTGCAGAGGGCAGATGGATAAGCAGGGAAACTGAGCTGAAAGGATCCACTTAGGTGCAGGATGGAGTTGCTAACCTGCCTTTCCAGCCCTGCAGACAGTGAGTACCAGACCCACATTGACCCCTGCTGCTGCAGTAAATGTGGAGCTTATGCAGACCTGGCACTGATGCCGTGCGATAGCGGATTTTCCAGGCAATATTGGAACAACTGCCACTTTGTGACAACGGCTGCAACTTGCAGATGCTGAGTGACTTGCAGGATGTTACGTAGAAATCATGTGATGGAGGCACAAATACAATCCACCCCAAACCTTCCTACGAGAGGCATTTCAGTGATTTTGCTGAGATGTCCCTTCTCTTCCTCCGGTTCTGGTCTTCTTTCCCTGTTCCACCACTTCCAGCTCCTGTTTCCCTTATTTCTAAATGCTTGGCTGTGCAACCTTAGTAATGTGGGGTTTTTAATATCTTTTGTGTGTGTGTGTGTGTGTGTGATATTTACACAGTTACAGTGCCAACACCTTGTAGAAATGATTGCGTGTGAAGGAGGGGAAACCTAAACTCACTGCAGCTCAAAATATTACATGCAACTACGGGAAAAAGGGGGAGAAAAGAGTGATGGGGGAGGGGGACTGTTTTCCTAGGGAAAAATAGGGTAGCATCAACATTATGAAGATATTAAATGACTAAAAGTAATTGGGTGCCTGAGATAAGGATGGATGCTTTGCCATCTGCTCAGTGTAAGTCACATCCATCTAAATATCTCTAGTCAAGCTATCCCAGAGGACATAGAATTAAAATAAAATTATGCCATGTGACTAGCAGGTTGGGGGCAGAAGAAGGAGATGAGGCAGTGTCCTAAGGCTTGAGTAAAAACCTCATGGGAGATCTGCTTCAAGGGGAAAATCAGCTACTCTGGAGGACTCACTGTTTCGCTGTGCATGGCATTGCACCCAGCAGTGCCATGGACCAGCCGGAGATGCATTAGCAGCATATTCGACCTCTTCTTCTATGCACAGCTTTCTGATGCTTAACATCCCTTTTTGCACATAAATTGGAGCCTGCACCTGCTGGTGCCACGTGTTCTGTCAGCTTGGGGAGATTCAAGGCATAGGGAAAAGGGGGTAGGTGTATTCGTAGGAGAGCTACGTATGTTTCCCGCCACTGAGGGGGAACCAGTGCTCGTCAGATTTAATCTGGGGCTAACTAAAACAATTAAGGGAAGGGTTTTCATGGCTAGTTCCCTTTTTAGATATGGGACTTGGATTCCAAGTTGCTCATAAATTTTCAAATTAAAACCATGTATGAAATTACTAATTAAGGAGGGAGATACAAGTGCCATGACCAAATATAATTTATTAAAAGGGCTCCTCCATTTCTCATATACTATCACCATATTCCTACATACCAGAAATAAACAAGTTGCCTTGAATCCTTTTCAACTACCATTAGGCTGCACGGTTAAAGCCAGAACTGGTACTAAACAGTCCTGGCACATGGAGGACCAGAATTGCCTCTTCATTTTGTTAAACGTTTGCAAAGACTGTGCTGATTCTCGTGGCCATCCCATCTTGTCAAATGTTCTGGACTTCAACGTTTTTACTAAGTGCTCACGAAGAGCCTTCCCTTGATACCCTGGGATGACAACACGTGGCTTTCAAACTAGTTCTCCAATGCAACTGCACAATAATGCACAAACAAGTGGCCTCCAGCCCTGGAGAACCTTCCCTGATCATTGACTGCACCCACAGCAACAACTTCATAACAATCCTGCGATGTCGGGCTGGTCCACACAGCCTGGAGCCTGCAAGCTACCCTGCAATGGCAAAGTGGTGTGCTCAAATGTGGAAGATGAGATATTCTCAATAAGGATACTGATTTCAGCATCGGTCTGCCAAGGGAGCTGTTATAAACAGCAGGGAATAAAAACATGATTTTAAAAATTATGAGAAAAGACTTGACAGTGTCCTTCTTCAGAGGCAGTTTGAAAAATCCACACAATAACTGCACAGCCAGGCAAATCCATCTTCTGAATAAAGGCAGTGTAGTCAGCTATTTCAAAATAAAAGACGGATAGCAAGGACTGGCTGGCTCAGGAATTTAATAATAATGAGATATGAAGCCATTCATCCCTAGGTCACCAGTACAAACCCTGCCCAAGCTGGGAATAATTGGAAGCTATTACCCTCTGAGGTATGTTTGTTGCTGCCTGGGAAATGAGTTGAGGAACCTGCTGGGCCAGTAACTACATGAATGAAACGCTGAGGTGGTGCCACTGGCACCTGCTGCCAGCCCGCCCAGTGCAACCAGGCTGGCAGCAGCGGTTCTCTCCCCTCCCTTCCTCATCAGCTCCTCTGGGATACTGTGACCCATTTCTTCTGGCTTTGCCCCTGCCTGAGCCCACCCTGTGCGTATCTGTATCCCTTCTTTCAGGCGCTGAAAGACCCTACCTTGGCAGCCCGCAAGGATTTCCAGAGGGAGGCAGAGCTGCTTACCAACCTGCAGCATGAGCACATTGTCAAGTTTTACGGCGTGTGTGGTGACGGTGACCCCCTCATCATGGTCTTCGAGTACATGAAGCACGGGGACCTGAACAAGTTCCTGAGGTATGTGTGAAGGAGGGCAGGGGAGTTGATGTACAGCCGCTCTGCAGCCTCGGTGTGGCTTGTTATAGATCTGTGGTGTACCAGTGACACCATTGCCATGTGGATGCTGGTGGGCTGGGTAATGAGAGCTGGTTGTTCCAAGGACAGCTTGTAGGAGATGATGATCCTCACTAGATTTGGTGCTTCATTAACCCTACCCCAACATTTCCTCTTAGGTAGTTCCAGGGGTGGTCCCTGTGAGCTATGGAAACCAGACTTGTCTTCTCCCACCCCAGCAAGTTTGAAGCTGCAGAAAGCGTGGCTGCAATCCCTCTCTGCCCTGCGGGGGTAGGATGTGAAGCCTTGGCTGTCAGCAGCTCCGAGTCCCATCCACCCAGCAAAGACATGCCCTGCTGCAGCAGGAAGGCCACTAGCCGTCACTCCCCATGTCACCCAGCTCCTCGTTCAATAGCACCATAACCAAAATATTCCTTTGAGAAACTTGCTGGAGTCCTTGGTCTGATTGATATCCTGGGCATTTATTGCTCTCTAGTTTTCATTCCTATATTCAGAAAAGAGCTGAGAAATGCTGGAGGGGCCTCAGGCAGTGCCTATGGAGTCCATCCCTTGTCCTTGTTCCCTAGGCCTCATCAGACAGGGATGCTAACTGAGGTACAAACTATCCTAACCTGTGGCACCATACTACTCAAGAAGCTAGGCAGGGCCTGACAAAGTGCTGTAATTGCCTTCCCTGCCTCTAGAGAGATGCATATTGCTGGAGCCCCCCACCTCCATCATCATTCAACCATTTCATCAACGTGAGGCAGATCATTTGTATGCCCTAAATCTGCCAGCGGTGAGGGGCAGCGAACAACTGTGGGAGGATGTTTGTGGTGCTGTTCTCCCACGATACAGAAATTATGCTCTGAAACCTGCATGCAAGTGGAGTGGTACTTACCTCTTGAAATAATTAGTAGTTTTATTTCCCAGTATTTAGAAAATTGGACCCTTGATATTTTCCTGTTTTGACTGCTAAGTGTGAACATGATTGCAGCAGGAACAAGAAGCTTGAGCACAGCAGGTCTAGATCTGGGCTTGGGATACACTCTGTGATTATTTTTCCACCACCACAGTCAGTTTCTGACCAGGAAACACAAGTCTTTCCCTGAGGTTTTAATTTCTAAGCAATCACCTACACCCAAAGAGCTGTGGGGAAGGACCTCAAAGGTTTCTTCTTTCCTCTGCCAAGCAGTGCCAACCTGTCTGAAGCTCCCTTGGGGCATTCACAGGGCAGTGGCTGGACTGGGAACATCCCTGCATTGGTTTCCCTCCTCATTTCAGCATAGTTGTGGGTAGATTGAATATGATTTTATAGCTCAGTCCCTGTCTCAGGCTGTCTCAGAGGGATGTCTCGTGCCCACTGCTGATGCCTTGTGTAATTGCTTCACACAACGGTGTGGTCCTAAGGCTGATATCATGCTGAAGCCATGCACCCCCTCATCTTCACCCCTCGTCCCAGCCCTACCCTGGGACATGTCTGAGAAACACTCATGCCCTGGAAGGCCAGGGCCTGTCCTGGTGTCACTGGAGAAAAAAGCTCATTGTTGAATTATCTTTGGCCTTTATGAAGGAAAATAAACTTTCCAGATGTGTGGTCCCCGGGACTGCAGCCTCACATCTTCCAGCTGCATGTAGCTGCCAGCTTTTCCTTCTCATGCAGCTGTGAAGCAAGCAGATACGGAGGAAGTGGCTGTGAGCTCCCTTCTCTGCATGTTGGTGTGTGATAGGCAGTGAAATCCTTTCATGTTCCAAAGGAAGCTGACTTTTGGGACAAGCCCCCCTAAGGGGGCATGTGGAAAGAGAGTCTTGGGCTTTGTTTATCGGGTCAGTTATCTGCTGTCCTCACAGTGGCAACGGTGGGCTGCAAGGGAGTCAGAGAAGGTCGGTGGTGTAGGCATGCCTGGCATCCCTGGTGAGTAGCAGTTCTTATTGTGGCATGATTCACCCAGCCCACAGCAGGAGACAGTTGCTTCCAGGCACTGGAGGCCAGGGGCGCTGGGAGTCAGTAAGAGACACTCAGATGGACTTTTCCCAGTTTAACTGCAGAAATTGGAAAAGCGGTAAAATGGAAGAAGCTCACTTTAGACCCAGTTTCCTAGAGAAAAGCATAATCAATAAATTCTCCTAAGTGTTCTTAGACTTTCGTGAGCTTCCCAGAAAAGACAGAGAATTTTACTGGTCTGTAAAATTAACTGGTGTGGCAAGGGGAAGCGCCAGGATCAACACCTACCAGCTGGGTTAGAGGTGGCATGTATTGTGATGGCTCTACACTCCTCCCAGGGCCCCTGCGTGTAAGACCATTGCTGGTAGTGCAACAGCTTACCCTGCTCTTTGCACCAGGGGAGACTGCAGTTGTGGTGTCCTGGCTAATAGAAAAGGGATAGTGAAAATATCCTGCTATGGAGAAATACAGGCATTGCTCTCCAGGGAGCATGGCATCCCTAGGGCTGGTGTGCGTGGGGGCTGGAGACTGCCCGCAAGTTATGTGCGTGGCAAGGCTGGGCACTCCCCAGACCCACTTCTGGGGGTCTGCAGCAGCCGCCTTGCCTCTCTACTCACCAAATATCTCCATTGCTTCCTCCCTTTCCTTCTGTCACTCGTTTTCTAGCTTTTGTTTTCTGTCTGTGGCAGCAGCAAATTTGAAATAGGGATGTTTGCATGTTGCCATTACAAACCCTCTTTTCAGTCTATAGTAAGTTGTTGCTATTTGCTGTTAACTCAGAAAGGCAATAGATTTTGTTAGAAAAGTTGCATAGTTCTGATGTTTTTGTGTCAGTCCTTCCTGTGGAGCAGCCCCTACAGTTAGACTGTCTTGGGACGGAAAAAAGCATTTCAGCAGAGGAAGCATGCAGCCAGGAGGGTGATTTTTTTCCCCAGGCTGACAAAAGCCTCCATCACTCCATAACAGAAAAAAACCCCAACAGTTCTTTAACAAGGGATCCACCCAATCTTATGGACTTTCTGTGAAGCTGAATTAAACCCCTTTCTCCAAGAAGAGATGAGCAGACCCCTCTTGTATTCCCTGCAGGCTTTTTGACACAACTAAATGTGCTAATATCCCTTCTGTTAATCTCATAAATGTGTTGATACTTCTTTCTTCTGGATTATACCCTTGTGGGATGGAGAAAGGGAGGGAGGGAAGTGTATGTATTATATAGGACATATCGAGATGTGTCCTATATAGTAGGATGTAAAAAGAGCCAGTGAAATAAAGGTGTTGGCTGATCATTTTTTAAACATCACCTGTTCCCTTCAGAGACAGACATTTCTTTGGGAGCCATTATTGTATTTGAAAAAGGTGGCAGTAATGAAATAGTAATATATCCTTCACTTCTCACCTAGGAATGCTTACCTTTGATGACAACAGGTATCAGCTGCAGCTAAATATGGTGTAACTGCCAGGCATGACTGGTACAAACTGTCCAGCACAGTTTTAGAAACTATTGTTTGTCCTGCTTTGCTGTTTTTAGCTAACCTGCTCAGTCCTGGCTCAGCTTCACCTGCTGTCAACATCTGTTGTCACCACCAGGTAATTTCCTGGGGTAAACCCATCTGTGGGCTGTCTAAATAAGACATCAAGGAGTCATTTCTGCATACACTCTTCTGGAGCTCCTCCTTGCCCCCAGTAGTTCTTCTGGTGTGCTGATGCTCTCACCATGCCTGCGAGCCTTCAAGATTCCCCCAGCAGGCCCAGCCCTGCCGCCTGCAGTGCTGCTCCCAGCCAGCTCATCCCACATTCACTGCAGCATCACCCACTTGTGGCTCCCAAAAAACACTCCTGGCTCATCAGCACTCATTTCTGGAGTTCCTCTCCTCTTTCAGCTATCCTTTCTACCAGGAGGGGATCTTCAGAGCCATGTTTCCAGGGGCAGGGCAGCAGGATGTAGTTGAAGACAAGGGCATTTGAAAAACTATCGTTTGAGCCCCAGTGCTTGGATGCTAATCCCTTTGGTGCACCCTCAAGCCCAACAGAGCAATTAGGGAACAGAGACAAAGGAGGGAAACAGTTTGGATCTTGTTGTGGGTTGTTCTCCCATGTCAAGAAGGAGGGAAAGCTCTGTGCAATTTCAATTTGTTAGCTCTCTGTGGGGTTACTGCTGATGACAGGGGTGAAATGCCAAGAATCATTTCAAAGAGAACAGTATGAAAGCCTCGGAGGAAATGCTGTACTGTATCTTAGTCACAAGGAGGAAGGTCACAGCAAAATCTTTTGCTTTTCCCTAAATCTGAGGGATTTTGTTATTCCACCTTCACACAGGCTACCACAGGGTGAGCTCTACGAGGGGAAGAGACATCACAGAGGGAGGATGGCAAAGACGGACTTGGTACACAGTGAGGGAGGGGACTAAAAAGGGGACAGGACAGGAATAAGCCTGACCTTCAGTTCTGCATTTACAATGCACTTGGTTCAGCAAAATATTTCCTTTTGTTGCCCAGGATGTTCTCTACATCTGCTGACATCCAGGTCTAGCCTTTGCACCTCTGCTTGTGCCTTCACAGTTTACAGTACCTGTGTTACCTCTGGGATGGCTTAGGGTATAAAAGGTATTTTCCAGGGATGAAGCTGCTGGTGTTCCTCTGAAACCTTTTATGTGATCTCTGGCTGTATTGGTACTGATCAGGGGTAGGTTATTTGGTGATATGGTGTTTGGAGGAAACAGATGAGGCTGTTTGGGATTAATAAAGAGACTAGGTAGCAAGAATATGATGGCTGTGGGAGAAAAGGGGGTGATATCTCTACCTCTGGGAAGGTTTCCAAGGTGTAAGAATAACTGGAGCACACATGTAAATATCTGGAGGCAAATTAGTTTTGCATAGGTCTTGCCAGAGAAGAATGTCCATGTTTCATCAAACCAATGGTCCCTCTGTCCTGGCAGTCTGTGTCCATCTGTGGCCTAAGAGGTTGCTTGCGGAAGAGTAAGGATGTATACCACCCGCTCACCCACCAAATAAATGTTCCCCCAACCTCCTGTTCTCTTAAACTTTTCTTTTTTTCTTTCCACTGGAGCTGCGTGTACATCCTCACAGTGCAGAGTTGGGGGCTAGTCCCCACCACAGCAGGAACAGCGACCGTGTGGGATTCCTATCTCCTGGTCACTTTTGAGACCCAACTCTATGCTTTTTGCTTCTTCCTCCCTATAGGGCACATGGCCCAGATGCTATGATCCTCGTGGATGGGCAACCTCGACAAGCCAAAGGGGAGCTAGGGCTATCCCAGATGCTCCACATCGCTAGCCAGATCGCCTCTGGAATGGTGTACCTTGCCTCCCAGCACTTTGTCCATAGAGACCTGGCCACCAGGAACTGCTTGGTCGGAGCCAACCTGCTGGTGAAGATTGGAGACTTTGGGATGTCACGAGATGTCTACAGCACTGATTACTACAGGGTAAGGCAGCTCCAGCAGCAGTCTGATGCTCAGAGCAAAGGGAGACTAGGAAATGTTACAATAAATCAGTTTTTGGAGCTCTTGGGCTCACTTCCTTGGTTATTCCCTCACTGAAACATGCACACAGATGTCAATCAGGCATTCCTGAACCACTGTCCTCACTCCTTTTCAGTCCTGGCTATGCTTGTAGTTCAGACATCCATGCAGATGCCTACACACAGAGCTCTCTGTGATACCCCAGCACACAGTCACATGCTTTGGGATGGCTCTGAAGTCACCCCATTCTTACTTCCTTCCTATATTTTCTCCCTCTTTTTTGAAGACATTGATAAACTAAAGGTAATCCAAAGAGATGACAAAGACTACAGGCTGTGACCTCTGGTGTTAGATTAAAGAAACTTAATACAGGGACCTAGAGAAAAGGCATCTGAAAGACTGACTGATAAGTACATAAAATATGGAAGAGGAAATAATAGGCAATTTAGGTTTGACCTCAAATCACTTTTTTGCAGCAGGGCCATCATTTAGACAATGGAATAATTTGCCAGAGGTAGGTTGCTGAGGGCCTGTCATTAAAGAAGTTCAGGAAGCAACTAGATAAAAATGCCTGTGTTTAGTGCAGAGGCTAATCCTGCACTCATCTCTGGGGACAGACTCAATCTTTCCAGCCTTTTCTTCTGTGATTTGTGTTTGCACTCTCCCCTTGTCTTGCACACTCCCTTTGTACCTGTCTGCACTGCCCTATCTGCCCGAGATGGCAGCCTCCCTGGGGGGACAGCGTGTTTCTCACCCTTCCTCAGCCACAGGAGAAGCTGTGATGTGCAGAGTTTGAAGCACACTGGAGTAGGCATTTGTCGCTGGGCAGGGCTTTTCAGGCTAAGGAGCAGCGGTTTCTAGCCTGATGCTTGGACTAAGGCTGGTTTATTTCTGGTTACAACATGGATGTTTGGCTTTGAGAATGATTTCTGTCAGCTACCTGAGAAAGGGTTGACCTGTGGTCTTGATCTGATTCAGAGTGTTTTCTTTATGTGATAGGCAGTTGCTAAGTAGAATTACTGTGTTGGGGAGGATGTGATCAGATTTCTGCAGAGACATATCACCCCTCCCAGCCCAGGACATTGGCTTATCACTAAGTTTAATTGCCAGTGAGGGCACCAGTCTTCACTGTGCAGCACAAAAGCCCAGGCTGGGACAAGGTCTCTGTGCAGTTACTGGACAGTGATGAGGGAAGAGAGGTGGCTATGGTCCCATCACTACAGAAACTTCAGGAAGTAGCAAGTAGGGAAGAGAAGACCCAGGGGAGGATGAGAAGCAGCCTGTTCTTGCCTGGCTCCTTTTCTTCAGCTGTGTTAGACCTACCTCAACCACAGTGTCACACCGCTTGAGACAATCCCAGCCAAGCTTGTGTTCTTGCAGCACCGAGAGCTCTCTCTGCAATGAGAGAATTTGCTGCTATTGCCATGTGAAGGCTGGGAGGGCCTCCAAAAAGTGAGAACTGAGAAGATCTCCATAGGCCAGTTCACTGTTGTCGGATTTTTTGTCTTCTCTGTGGTGGTGTCCCATAGACCTCATCCTGTCTGTGCAAAATGCTTTGCTGAGGATTGCTCCATGCTATCTCGTGCAGTGTTGTAAGGCTTTTCTAGTGGACTTTTCTCTGCTAACACAAATTGCCATGAGTGACCAAAGCAAGAACTAGTTATCACCTGTTTACGAGACCAAGAGCTTAGCTTCAGACCAGCACAGCCATTTGTTCTTAGTTGATTTTCTTTTCTCTCTTTTCACTGACTTTTGGTACTTTTAAAACTCTTGATCAGTAAGTCCATGCTCTGCATGCATGGAGAGCTTTTCCTGTTACAGTCCAAAGAGGGGTCCTAGCAAATTACGGTTTTGATTGCCCATATTTGCATTGGTGGCGTGAGAGGCAGAGACTTTACATGACTTGCCCAAGGCCAAAGCAGGATTCAATGACAGAGCTGGGAAGCCCATCCAGGCCATATATTCCCCCCAGCAATGAGCAGAAGTCTGGGAGCCAAGTGTTCTTCATCCTTTCTCCAGCCACAGCCCAGCCACACTTCTCCCAGCATATGAGAAGAACCCAGATAGGTTCTTTTCTCAATCTCCTTCTCTAATCACTGCCTTGTGGGACATGTTTACCAGGAGAGCACATGGAGCCGATCTCGTTATTCACCATTTTGGTGCACTCACAGTTATGTGACAGTCTCTGTGCTTCCCCATCCACCACTCTCTCGTACCCATCCTCTCCTCTCCCTCTGCCTTTGCACAGCACCACTGCATCCATTCTCTGCAAGAAATTGTGTGAGCCTTGCTGTCTCTGAAATAGGAAATCTATTTGGTTTCTATGTGGAAACCTGCACTTCTAAGTTCCCTATGAACAAGAATAGTCAACCCTTTGAACAGAAACTTGGTTGTGACACTAATGAAGCCACATGGGACTCATGTGAATTGACTGTATTAGACTTGACTTCAACTCTGGTAAGAAGCAGCATTCATTTTCTCCTGCAAATGTAGGTGAGAAAAACAACATGGTTTCACAACAGTTGTGCATTTGTGCTCTATCTTGCTCAGAATTTTAATTCCTAACATCCCTTGCATGAAAACTGGCCCTTCAAGGCTCCTGAGGCAATCCTTTTGAGTGAACAGACCTATCATAAAATCCACCAAGGTACCTCAAGTGAGGGCTTTTGACTGAATACAGACAGAGAGCAAATGAGCTCAAGTGTGAGAACAAAACTGCTCCTGGGTATCACCTATGGAAGGTGGAGATGTGGCTGAAGAGCTGAACTGTGAACTCTTTGGTGCTGTCCCTGATCATATCTACAACCTGCCTGGTGATATTCCCAAGTCTGATTCTCAGTGTTTGTGCACAGCAGCTCTCCCCTGTCAACAGCCTGCCATTCCCACCAGTAGGACCTGGAGTAAAGTTCTGCTTCAGGTGGTTTCTGGAAAATATTGCTTGGTGTGTCCAAGCTGCAGCCGAGGGAGAACACGGTAATTTGTCATTTTCTGGGAACACGGTGAAGGATTCCACCTCGAAGCTGATGTAAAGTGACAGGTCTGGAGCTCTCTGCAAGCAGACTCACTTCAGTCCACTGGGTCCCCGTGTTTGATCCTGCTCAGGCCCCATGAGCACAGATAACTGGGCACGTGGATATATGAGTGTGTTCCAGGCTGAGGATTAGCTCCTAGCCATTTCCTTTCTTTCCCTTCTTTAATCTTTTAAAACAAAGAAAGAACACCATCTGGCTCCTGCATTTGTGGGATGCAAAAGTGCTTTAACAAAGGTGAACTGCTTAATTTCCTGTTACACATTTGGATACAGAAAACAAACATTTGCGTAACAAAAACAGCAGAGAGGCTTGTTTCCCCTCTCCCGCATGGCTCTCCATGTTCTGCCTGAAGACAGATGCGTCCTTTTCCTTGTGCACCACAGAGGGATCCCGTCAGCTGGTGCCTTTAAACCTTCTTTCAACAAGGCAGGATGGAGAGAAGATGGTTGTGGAGGTGTAGGTGGTGGGGAGAGGTGAAACAACATCTGATTAGAAAGTGGAAGAAAGTCGAGGGACTGGGGAGACAGGGAGAAGTAGCCCAGCATCTGTGTGAAGAGTAAAGGCGGGGATGCTGAAGAAGCATTTCTGTGATGTGTTGTGTAATGTGCTGTGCAATCTTTGGTGTGGGTCTCTGTGGGAAGGCAGGATGGAATATATCCATATTGGAGAGAAAAAATTTGGGCGGATTTCGTTTTCCGTGTTGTTTTCTTTAAAAAAATATGTGAGTAGGTGATTTTTTTAGCTATGACTCAGGACTGTGACAGCAGGTGGTGGGACGCTGCAGGTCAGGGACGTTGTGCCTCAGCCAAGCTGAGTGTGGCATGGAGACTGCAGCAAGTCAGGCACATGGTGCCTGCCCAGCACTGCCTGGGGAGCTGGAGGCTGTCATGGAGGCTGGGGGGTTTGTCCAGAGCTGGGGGCATCACCAGGGCTGGGCTTAGGACCCCCAGCTGCTCTTTCACCCAGCAGACTGGGGTTTGGTTGCTCCCAGAGCCCTTCTGTGGCTCTGAACTCACTTGTGCTCCAGTAAAATCCAGAACTTTTTCCTTTCTTCCCCCAAAATGTGTAATTCAATTCCCAGCAAAACCATGTGGCAGCTGCCCATGGAAAGGGCAGTATTTCTTCATCTTTAGAAGAGAATACAGTTTTAAATTGTAGTCAACGGTCCTTAATAACTTCCAAGGTAATGTCCTGACATGGGTGGAAACCCAGCAGTGAAGACACATGTCAAGTAGAGGAAGGATTTATGTAGGCATTAAACCACATTAAGACATCCCTCTGTCCAGGTCTCCTATGTCCTACCCTTCTGGCATCCTGCCTAAATCCTGGGCTGGGCTTGAAACCTCTAGGGGACTTAGCTCCATCCTTTCCCAGAGGCCTGTCCTGAGTGTACTCCTGGTCACAGTTCATCATGCAGAGGACACCTGCTTGTCAAAAAAAAGACACGTGCAGGATTTGCAAAGGGCTCTGAAAATATGTTTCTATTTCTAGCAATACAGAGCTAAACATAATAACAAAAAACGCTCCCTGCTTCTGTGTCCTCACCACTCTGGAGCATTGTTTGGATTTGGGAGAGACAAGGTTTGCAGGAAGAAGTAATATCTTTTATTAGAACTTATGATATTGTTGGAGGGGAAAAAAAGAATGAATTTTAGATACACAAACCCTCTCTGAGCTCTTTTTTTTTTTTTTTTTTTTTGTAGTTTGTTTTTTTTAAAAAAGATTTATATTTCTTCCTTTGAACCTTAGAGGCCTGTCCTGAGTGTACTCCTGGTCACAGTTCATCATGCAGAGGACACCTGCTTGTCAAAAAAAAGACACGTGCAGGATTTGCAAAGGGCTCTGAAAATATGTTTCTATTTCTAGCAATACAGAGCTAAACATAATAACAAAAAACGCTCCCTGCTTCTGTGTCCTCACCACTCTGGAGCA